TCCCCAAAGTAGTGCGAAAGCGGTTCCAAAGGGGAATAAGTCTCTCCGAAGAGAGAGACTGTGTGTTGTTAATATGTAGTATATTAATATGTTAGGGAGTCAGGTATAACCTTCCGACGACAGTTGATTTGACGGTGCATAAACTGTTTATATCTCCTTATAAATAGTTTATATTACTATTATTATATTTCTATTATTATATTTCTATTAAACTGAGATAAGAAATAATTTATTTAGCAATATTTTATATTAATAAAACAAATTTAAGAAGTTTTGCACTACCGTATTACTCGGTAAATGCGAAATAATTTTTTAATAAAAATAAGTGCTAATTTAATGCAAGGTTATTATTATCTAATTTAATATTATCAGTTTCTCAACATAGATCATGGTTCTTGTAGAAAAACTTTGTCATCTTTATACATAATCATGGTTCAAAAGATTTGAAGGAATTATTAATTAACTAAACATAAAGATATCTAGGGCTTCAATTTATTATTATTATTATTTTAAATTATATACAATCAACTAATTCCAGAATCAATTAAATACAACTCATATATGTGTGTCTGTATACTGCTGATACAAATATGCACTAAATTATAATGATTTTAAAACAAATTAATATGTTTTCTTAAGAATAAATGATTTTTTAAATATTTTAATTTGTATAAATTACACCAAACACATTCATAGTCTGCAGTATTTTATCAGTTACATAGTATATATAAGAAACATGACTAGTACTTATACTTAAGTTCCATTACTCATTGTAAAATTGATAATGTTATCAAATATAATTTAATATATGGATGTATTGATATACAGACTTTTTGCGATTTTGTTACTTTCAATTGAATGATCCCGTTGTCAAGATAAAGATAGAAAAGCAAAGCTTTGAAGTACAAGTTTTAGAAATGTGCTTCAAAAAATTTCGTCGAGAGGCAAATCACGTAGATTTTGACGCGACAAGTAGATTACAACTGAATCAATGGGATCAGAGAAAGGAGGTAGACTTCTGCGTTATAGTAATGAAATGCTCGTTGATACAATTGAGAATCAAGCTTTCATAACAAGTAAAGAATACTTTAAGTATTTAAGTTCTCGATACAAAATTATTTTTTTATCGCAAAAATAAACAATTTTATGTTCTCCTTCGCAATGTCTTCAATACTTTTTATTTAAAGTCTTACTTGAAATTTATTAAATGCGTTGTACTTGTATTTTCAATTAAAATGAACAAAATTAACGAAAAAATACAAATTTATCTACCTACATACATATTTCCTTTGTATACATGAGAGCAATTGGATTTAATATTGCCAAACTTCAACATATGACCAGTATGCATAAATTCATTTACGAATTTAAAATATTCGTAAATACGTATAATGTACACAATTTAAAATTAAAGTGTTCAATACTGAACTGTTAATGCATGGATGCCATGGATACATTGGCACATCCTTGAATTGGTCGTAGAATAATTTTATTGAACTGCCAATTTTGAGGAATCATTAGTGGTGATTAAGTGTTTAATAAGTTATATGCATACAAAAATTATTAGAATTAATTCAAATAAAAGCAAATACAAAACGTTTTAACAATAAAATTCGAAGTTTGCACTGATGTTCTATAGCATTTTCCTCACTCGTGAGTATGTATATACTATTACCATTCCAAATTCTCAAGATGTGTTCAAACATACATATCTGCTTTGAATACTATTTATGTCTAGAAGTAATAAAAGCGGGGTAAGATGCGTTTTATAGCATTTGCAAGTTAGCAGTAATTATTGTTACGAATTGTGCTCCGTCAAGCATATACTGAATGACCCAAAATGTACTTCAAGATGAAGGTATGATGAACGGACAAGCAAGAAACTTATAGTTCATTTAACCATTTTTGGCTGCGCTCTTTTGGAAGTAACATTAAAATCAGTTTTTATTATCCAGCATGTGCTTGACAAATTTCATCATATTTCCTCTTCTTTTCATTCCAAAATATATAATTTTACTTGTATTCGTTAAACCCCAATATGTGGTGATAGCTTATTAATAGAAATAAATATTCCTTCATACCAAATCCTCTAATTAATGTGATTCAAAAAATTATTATTGGTTCTAGATACCTTCAATTGAAACTTAAGCTTGCATTTGGAAAATTAAAAACATTCAGAGGACTTATAACCACATTCTGAATGATTTTCACCTCAGACAAAGTAATTCAGCTTTGGAATTTCATACAAGTTCGACAGTGCATCAGTACAGAATCTACCTTACAGTTCCTTGCGAGCAAATGTCCTCAGTGTTAATACCTATTTATCAAAAGTTCTGTTTGAAATTTCATCCTTTTTAAACGGCATACACATTTTTAAACTGTTCAATTCTTACAATTATTATTTATTAGATTTTTAGCTGTTTTTGGTACTTACCTATTGGCATATATTTTTCGATTTATATTAATAGTTCATGCAATTAACAGTATTTGTATAGTTGACAACACTGACTATTTTAAATCAGTAATCATTTAAGTGCAACGGAAGATAACGAGAATGGCAAGAGTAATAACAAGAAGCAATCGAAAAGTGCAGGTTAATTTGGAAGCTTAATTAAAAGATACACAAGATTATATTAAATATAAACTCGATCGCCTTTTAATGCAATAATTTATTGTATACCTTCAAAGTTAGTTCAAAAACAGTTTCTAGAAATGCAGACAGTGGCGTAACTATAGTACAGGGAAGCGACTGGAAGCAACGCTTTCGGGCCCCCGAATTTAGGGGGCCCCATTATAAATTTATATATTCATTATAATTATTTTTAACAACTTCTCAAAATTGCGAAGCAACATTTTATGTTGAAATAACTTAAATTTTGGTTTTTGAACAAGGTTGCATTTGTAATTTCAAAAAAATCTTTAAAATTTCTTTGTGTTGATATTTAAGTGGAATTTTCTAAAAATAAATAAAAACAAAACTGAAGAAGTAAACGATTTAAATGATGTCTTTGCTAATTTTGATACACAGAATAAATTGACACATTGTTCAAATACTGAAACAAACTTCTGAACAAACTAATTCTTCCGACCACGAGAGAAGAAATACTGAACAGACTAATTCTTCCAACCACGAAAGATTACAAGGGCCATTGCCGAAGGATCCTATTCAAGAAAATAGAAGTTTCAATGCTTCATACTATAATTTGAAAACAAAATATGGAACAGTGCCTTTGGTCTTTGGTTATGCAATTCAAAGTTATTGGATTTAGTATATTGTAAGCCGTGCTGGTTATTTTTTAATCAAACAAATCAATGGTGTTCTGGATTTCGGGATTGGAAAAATTTGTCAGGAAAAATTTAAATACATACATCTATAAGAATTAGTAGGCTGATTTCAATCAAATCAGATGGTGAACAGTGTCCGCTCCCGAAGAGTATGTGTGTAAAGTTTCATTCGAAGAGTTCAAAAGCTGAGAGAGTAGTTTGAACTGAAAAAGTACATATATACATATACTGATATATACTTCATGGTATTTTCGACGTTTTCTTTAATGCGTCATGAAAATCTTGACAAGCTTAATATACCCTTTTTACACTTTTTCGTGTAAAGGGTATAAAAAGATGTTAGTAGGAGCCCCTTAGTTAGAATTTGGTTATGGGCCTATGGTGTTCTGGATTTCGGGATTGGAAAAATTTGTCAGGAAAAATTTAAATACATACATCTATAAGAATTAGTAGGCTGATTTCAATCAAATCAGATGGTGAACAGTGTCCGCTCCCGAAGAGTATGTGTGTAAAGTTTCATTCGAAGAGTTCAAAAGCTGAGAGAGTAGTTTGAACTGAAAAAGTACATATATACATATACTGATATATACTTCATGGTATTTTCGACGTTTTCTTTAATGCGTCATGAAAATCTTGACAAGCTTAATATACCCTTTTTACACTTTTTCGTGTAAAGGGTATAAAAAGATGTTAGTAGGAGCCCCTTAGTTAGAATTTGGTTATGGGCCTATAAAATGTAGTTACGCCACTGGGTACAGATGATGCCGTTTTGGCATGATCAACCGAAAAATTTGTTTGCCTAAATCAAAGCACAATTCATCATCTCAGGTCGCACCAATTACTCGAGTCAAATGCGGATAGGACCGCCATGGTTTGTAATAAGTTACAACAAATAGAATACCAGTTGAGGCAGTTAAAAATGAATCACCGGCGACACTAAAGTGGGTGCCATGTGTGTGCACTACATAGAAACGTATGTCATATATATATGATCTGAGCAATTTGATAGCGCAATGAATGTCTAATAATTCTTTTTCTATTAAAGGGTTTTTTGTCTCATATTTGTTTAGGGGTTGAGAATAGCATCTAATGCGGAACAGATACACTGACGCAGAATGGGGGCTTAGCTTGCAATGACACGAATTCTTATGAGGCGACTCTAAAACTTAATCTAAAAGTGGTACTAACAGAAATACCAATCAAACTTGCAAGAGGCATGGAGAGCCAACAGATCAATCCATTAACAAAAATCAAAAATTGGATTCCTCTTATACAGAAGCTACAAATTTGTTAAAAATGACTGTTGTGAGACATTAACTAACCTGACATGCAGCTAAGTCTTAAGAAAGGTAGTAAAAGCTACAGAGCTGCTTCTTCCATTGCTGTTCCATCAAAACAGTATAGATTATCATCAATTGCGCCTACAGTAATTCCAGTTCTTAACAATAATCCAAAAAGATGATATATTGGATTGTGGAGAGAAAGAACATTGCCAAACACAACATTGTCACAACGTTTTTTGCGGCAGTAAGTCAATGTCCAACGAAATATTCCGGATCTCGTTCTGAAAAGGCAGAACTAGGCTTTATGAACTGAAACAACCTGAATATCTTGAATACGGTAAATACGTCCACTTTTATAAACAGAAACAGAGAACAAGTATTAGACTTTACACTAACCACATCATTTATATGAATATTTCAGCAGAAACATCCATGTCTGATTATCGTCAGATTAGGTATAATACTAATCTAAATATAAGAATAACGGAATCGTACAGAGTGCTTGAGGCCACAGATTGGTATCGATTTGCAGACGAACTCATGGAAAACCTAAGCAATAACAAACATACGATAGGTAATACTCATGACTTAGAAATATCTGATGCAACCTTAGGCATGAATATTATAAATTCCTACCATGAGACCTATCCGGTAAACACTAAGACCGACAACAGAAGAGCACCGTGGTGGAACAATAAAGTAGTCAACCTTAGAGTCGAAGCTCGAAGATTCTTTAACAAGGCTAAAAATTGTGGGGACTGAGCCACTTATAAGAACACTTTAACCACCTATAATAAAGAAATTAGAAGGACAAAAAAAGAATCATGAACTAGAATCTACTGAGATTCAGAACTTAAACAGAATCCACAGGGTTATCTCAGCATGCCACACTAATCCGAACGGATTTCTAAAAAGATCAGATGGTCATTAAACTAATGACTGCAGAAAGTATCTTTTATTTCCATCAGAAACACACTTCCCGAGATCTACAGTTTACGCTCAAGGATGGATCTTAAAATCTTCTCTGAAAATTAAATTGAATGAGCGATAAACTCCTTTCAAAGCCCCTGGAGCAGACAGTATATTGCCAGCATTTTTACAGTAGGATCGTACTTATCTTATGCCATAACTAATCTACATCTTTAGAGAAGATCTGGCTATGGGAAACATTCAAACTAACTGGAAGGAAGCAATTGTCAAATATGTATCTAAAGGAGGAGGTAAGCCTATTGAACTTCCTAAGCTTCATAGGCCTACATGTTTGACTTAATTTCTCCTAAAAACTATGGAGAAGATAGGGAAAAGGCATATTAGAGAAGAGTATTTATCGGTAAACCTATTTCCCCAATCAATATGCTTACCAACAATATAATTCCACCACACATGCTTTGCACAGTTTCACTACTAAAATACAGCAGTCCATAAATCGCAAAGATCTTGCGATAGGCTATTTTCTCGATATTAAGGGTGTGTTTGACAACACAGATCACTCATATATCGAGAATTACCATTGCAATGGATGAACTTCTGCATCATCTCAGTGGCAACGATTCGCGGTACAAGGCTATGCAATATAGTCATCCTTGTAGGAGGAAAATATGAGGACATTATTTCATTATCTCGTCGACTACAACAAACTCTGAACATCGTAGCTAGCTCGATGGTGCAGGAATGTGAAATTAAATGTTAATGCTAAAAAATCCTTCACTGTTAATCCTTCACTAAAAAAAGTGCTTTTTAATAACCTATTCCTGAATAAGAACCACCCCGACAGCAGACCTTGAGGTTGCATTGGGGCTCCCACCACTTCACCTAGGCAATGACCTTTAAAGCCAAGCTACAATTGTCCAGCAATCGAAAGTTTCTCACTGGACATTGCGGAGTTAAGAAGCATCTATTGAATTTAGATATTACATGAGACCAAAGCGCCAGAAAAGGGTCGACCTCATACTCTATTGGCCCAAGACTATTCTGCGCTCCTTCATCGGGTTTCTTTAAACTTAAATTTAATGAATGACTGGAAAGAGCAGCTCAGAGTCATTAGTATTCGACTTATCACAAAGTTTCTCACTGGACATTGCGGAGTTAAGAAGCATCTATTGAATTTAGATATTACAAGAGACAAGAGCTGCAGCCTTTGTCACGAAGAAAATATAACACCAGAACACATTCTGTGTCACTGTGATAGTCTCGCTAGACTCAGATTTCGATACTTATCAACTACCTATGGAAATAAAGTGGCTTTGTCTTATTAGTGTTCAAGAGTGCAGTGACGTGAAGACATAGTTTCCAGCCCCTTTTAAATCTAATCTAATTATCACTTCCGTAGAAATATCATGCCTGGAATCGGAACATATTCCCAGTTAACCTCCTCTTGAAAACACTATCTGAGGCCATGTAACAAAAGCTGCTTCAGTTTTGCGGTAATCCTTTTACGGTAATATATGGGTATATTTCTCGTCAAAATAGAAGACAACTATCTTGATGAGAAATATACCCATACATTACCGCGAAAGCAAAAAAGCAATAAAAAGTTTGGTTCACTATTAACGATCGCGATAGAGATAATATTTCATCATTCTAGTGGAAAAATTTCTATATCATACAAAAACATTTAAATTCCGATTAGCGAAAATATAATTGTATAATTGATATGTATTGCTACATGTAATATCTGTAAGAACGTTTTAACAAGTATTTTAAGATTTGGTGTCCCATATCTAATTAAATTTTCCCAATTTATTTATAACTTTTAAATATAATTCATATCTTAAGTACAACTATTAATTTACATCGTTATTCAAATGTTTAATCGACAATCAATAATTTATTACAATTTAGTAGACAAATTATGATTCATTGAATTCTAATTTATGCGACGAATATTATTTGAATCGGCAACTGCGTACAAGTTTTAAATAAATTCGAAAGTAACTTCCTTCCACGTTAGATATTAAAATTGCTATTAATATTAAATTTCACTCACAATAAAAACAAATTATGTTCATTGAATGAACAAAGCCAACGAAATAATTGTATGAGGCAACCTTAAGCCAAGTAATAATATTTGCATATGAATACGTCTCGGTCCTTAACTACGTACATACATACTTCAATACTCGTTCATTCTAATAGAAGAATGAGTTTTCATAACTTCTGGTTAGTGGTTCAAGTAGGCAATATTATTTATCTACGCGCAGTTCAACCACTGTTCGCATCTATGTAACAAATTAAGTTTCAAGTATGTAGAATCAAACAAAAACAAAATCACATTTATTAAATGAAAAACAATAAATTTTTGTAGCAACTGGTACAGTTGTGTGCGTCGCATCGAAGTTTGTGAGCAATGATTTCAAATAGATGGAAAGACATACATACCTCTTTCGACTTTGCAGAACGGAATGACCATTCATGTTTGCAAATTAACTGGGGAATAGCCTTATTCGATTGGCAAGCTGACAAAATGATATGCTCATTCGAAACGGTGCACTCAGTGGTTGCTTTTATTTTTATATGTAAAGTACAGTGATAACTTACAAAAGCAAGTGATACTCAAATTTTTTCACTTCCTGATTTTTCAAATTATTACAAACATTTGAATAAAAAAAATTTTATATGCAAAAATAAAAGTAATCTTCTTTATTTCATTTGAAATATTACAAGCTATGAGGTTGAATAGTTTTATTATTAAATTTTTTTTTTGTTTAACTATAAACACAAAATATGACCGTTGGATTCCATAATTCTGAGGGCTATTAACTTTTATCTTAATTAACTGAACTTTAAGAAAAAAATAGGGAGTAAGTAGGATATTTGAACGGTTAACAATGTATACTTATGTCTTATGTTGGATGGCAGCTTTTTATCAATCTATAGTTTTATCAAGTCTATATATCGTTTTTATTTGTATTTTTAATTTTTTACTCGCTTTAAAAGTGTTTTATTAATGATATTTTGTAATGCTGTCATTTAGAATTCCTTCCTTTGTGATAGAATATTTCAAAGAATATATTGGAATACACTAATATAGAATATTCCTACAACAACAAAACGATTTAAAAAAAAATGTTTAATACTTTATTATCGATAAGGTAAAAACCTTAATCATGTAAAAACTAAAATAATAATTTATAAATGAAATTAAGTTTACATTAAAACTCGTTTAAAAAAATATATTATACTTGTCTATAACTGAATATAGGGACAAATTTCTGGTTTCTGAAGATACGATCTTCAAACTATTGGAAATGAAAAGACAAACACATACATAAGTAGACTTATTAATCAAAATTACGCAAAAACAAGACATAGGACATAAAACATAATATCTAAATTAAAATGTTTATCGAATGAAAATATTTTATTTGCATTTAATAAACTGCAGAACTACATTTGTATACAAAAACAACAAACTGCAGAACTACATTTGTATACAAAAACACTGGTTACCTTTGAATTTTCCAATGCTAGAAAGATCAAGAAAGATTAACTGAAAGTCTGAAAGTCCAGAAAAATTCTATTGATAGTCGTCAATTAATAAGTAAGTTCCATTCTCTATGCTGACGTGATAGATGGACTGACTGGTATTTACTTAAAAATATGGTAATCATAATTTTCACAGCACTACGCCATAGCCTAACAAATATCCATATGGTGCATACGGTTTTTAATTTAAATTTTAATTGCGCCGTACACCTAATTAAAATGCATAAATTTAAATCCTTTTTCATTTATTTCCATATTTTCATTTCTAAAAAAATATTATTCACAAATATTAATGTTATTATAAAAATGAAATAGTTTTCCAAATACCATACACTCAAAAAAAGGATGAATGCTTAACTGTTGCAGTACAATTATGAGTTAAAAAAGGTATTCCACACGAAAAAAGCACCCTTAAAGCATTGTTCACGGCAATAAAATTAATAAAAGCATGTTTCAATGCACACAGAAGTTTCGAGAGAAAAACGAAACCTAATGTTAAATCATGGCAATTAATATTAAATGGATTATTATATAATAGCCCGTTTTCTCCATAAAACTAACCCAAAAATACAGAGCAATTATTGTCGCTTAACATTTTATTCGACAATTGGAACGATGCGATACCGTTGGGCGATACTGAGCAATTCTTTCATCATTTGTAATCTG